CGGGATTGGGTTTTCGTCGCTTGGCAACGACGTTGTAAAACAAGCCGCCCGCCCCGGTTGCCATCGGGGTTGAGTTTTCGTCGCTTGGCAACGACGTTGTAAAACAAGTGCCCCCACCGGTGTTTGCCATCGGGATTGGGTTTTCGTCACTTGACAACGACGTTGTAAAACAAGCCAATTCACTTCGTGAGCTCGGCAACCAGGTAACTGTTTTTTTTTTTTACCTCTTTTTTTTGGCGGTAACCATATTGGTGGTCGAGTGGATCATGTTGTGCGGGGTGGAGAACCCTCACTCCGTGCAAGGGGGATNCGGTTGCCATCGGGGTTGAGTTTTCGTCGCTTGGCAACGACGTTGTAAAACAAGTGCCCCCACCGGTGTTTGCCATCGGGATTGGGTTTTCGTCACTTGACAACGACGTTGTAAAACAAGCCAATTCACTTCGTGAGCTCGGCAACCAGGTAACTGTTTTTTTTTTTTACCTCTTTTTTTTGGCGGTAACCATATTGGTGGTCGAGTGGATCATGTTGTGCGGGGTGGAGAACCCTCACTCCGCGCAAGGGGGATAATCGCACCACGTTCTGTTAAAATGGTCAAGCACCCTCGAGGCAGTTACACTGATTACAAGTGTCTCTGGAAGTGAACACCAGAAAATAAATTAAGTCATACGCAGCTGTCATCCGTACTCAAGGAAGTAAGCACAAGATGCCGAACACCCTTAGCAGGATGCAGCGCACCCTTCATGCGACTCGCCGAATATCTCACGGCGATTCGCGCTTGGTGATGTGAGAGCCTGGTCCCGTGAGAACCCGGCGTGCTCCGTCCCGGCTTTGTAGGGATCCGAGATCAATGGTCTAACGACTACGGCATGCACGAGTATGAGTACCCCCCCCCCCCGGTACATGACGACAACCAAACTCTCCATCGCTCCGCACCCCAATCGTGAAGGATATGAATAGAGGTCAAATCCAAAGTCCTAAAGTCTACACCCACGCACGGAAACAGGTGTCCCGTAGTTCCCGACGAAGAAGCCTACGGCCGTGAACGATTGGGACCCTCCCCCACCGCCGCTCTCCTTTCAAACTCTTCGAACTCCAATAAGGTTTGCTGGGACATTGCTGGCGTGTTTTGTCATCGGCGCCGCCGGGACTGTGATCGGAACGGCGGCCGCAGCGGCGGTTGTGCCTTTAGGGCTCGGCGGAGATGGGTGGAAGATTGCCTCGGCCCTCGCGGCCAGGCACATCGGCGGCGCCGTAAACTACGTGGCGGTGGGTACGAGCTGCTGCCCGGGACTTTGGCGATTGCCTGCTCGGCCTAGCGTTCTCGTTGCTGTTGTTGTTGTTAATGGCGGTTGTGGTGGTGCTGGTGCTGCTTCGTTTGGTGCAGCTGTTACTGTTGTTGTTGCAAGAGTACCTGTTTAGGCACCCTGTGTGTTCCAACTTGTCTGGGCACGAGCTGTTGGCCTTGTTGCACCTCTTGTCCCGATCGATGATGTAGGTGCTTGCTGCCACCCATGCAGCTAATGAGGTGAGATTCACTACCGCGTGTCTTTGGTGTCTCATCATTGCATTGCTGACGTTTTTCCCGTAATCTTTTGAAAACATCGCCGACCTATAGTTAATCCTCCCGCTTGCGCTCCCCCCCCCCTCCCCCCCCCTCGTTGTTTCCGTCGGAAGGTGTGTGAAACCCTCGGAGTCTCCGCGGATGCCGTCGTGGCTGGTTTGGCCGCCGACAATATGGTAGGTGATACGAGCTGCCGTATTGTGGTATTCCATAGTTTTTCGACGCCATTTATCCTTCTCCGCTTCTTCCATGAGTGGTGGCTCTGTCTCTACAAGGCCCATCGTCGCCAACAGCAAGATTTGTAGACCAGTAGAACATACGGTATGGCTGCTGAGTGGCGATTGCCGGCGTGAAAGGTATCGGTGCGTGATTGACACGCCACGCAAAACGAACGGCTACTCAAATGGCCACGGCAAGGAAACGTTCTCCAAGTAGAAACTTGATATGAAGAAATATTCGAAGTAGAAACTTTGCGAGAAGTGTGATGCAACGTTTTCTTTCTGGTCTTTGGGGCATCGACAGGTGGTATCCCTGTACTTCATCTTCCTCTTCTGGGTCACGAAACCGGACAGACAAGAACAGTCAGCGCCCGCAACGAGGGAAGGCTCAACCAAAGCGATAGGCTCAGCACAAGAAGAAGCAGCCCCTACAGCAACTCCCCAACCATTATCAGCAGCGACGGCAGCGGCAGCAGCGTCGCCACCTCCTCTAGCGGTCACGAAGGAAACAATCTCTTACGCTCTGACCGCCGCCTGCGCCCTGTGCCTGTGCGGGGAGTTGCTCTCCAAGGTGGCGTTTGGCGGCAGGGTTAGTGCAATGTGAGCCGTTTGAGTGGGGTGTGTGCTTGCAACGTATCTTACCATATCAATCTACCTCTTCTGGCCTGTACTGCGGAAGGTTATGCTTGAAGAGGCCATCCCTGCCGTGCTGGGGTGTATGTATGACGCAGCGGATTTTTTTTTCGCGGAGTTGTACCGATATTTGACCGGGTTCTATTTTGTTGGGACTAGGCAGAGAGTATGGAGTGGGAGAACGGAATGGGAGGAGAGCAGCTGAAGCGACTGCACCCCCGCCGAAGACATCACCTTTGTCAACCGAGATTAGCACTTCTAGAAGATGGCATCGCCATTCGGCTTATTTACAGTGATTACCGCTTTGCTGGAAACGGAGTTTCCGCGCATCTGGGAAGTCTCCCTTACTCTCTCTTGCCTCTCCGCTCCGTCGTACTTTTTCTTGTGAGGAGCAACCAACCCACTCGTGCGACGAGAAACGAGAACGACATTGCTGCCCAGTGTGTGTGACCACCCGTGCAGCTCGTGCGGTTGCTATCTTGAGTTGATGCCATGATGCGAGCCCGACCATAACTTGCACTCCCGCCGCACATCCAGGCGTTCGCTGCCCGCGTGCTGTCTCCACCCTTTGACATCTATGCCCCTCCACTCATGCATATTCACACCGGTCTCGAACACCCACTTCCCTCATGTTAACACTTTTCCCTACAATATTGTGTGGTTTCCGTCTCTGCCCTCGATTGCTTCGAATTTTTGCAGCCCCTTGCTAACGCTGGTGACGGTAGCTGGGGCCACGGCGGCCCCGTCGTGGGTGGGGAGGCTGGGTTCCGTTGGCGCACAGGTGATTCTGTCGGATTCGACGCTGTTGGGTGCGTTTTGTGTACGGTCGAAGCACGTGGTTTGCTAGTTTTGCACCGTCTTCTGTCCTGTGCCTTTTTTAGCGACCGCCTCTTGCCTGTACCTAGTGTTTTCGTCGTCCTATTTTGGAAGCATGGTTGTTGACTGTTTCTACTGGCCTTGGGGCCTTTCTTCTCTGACCAAAGAGCTCGAATCCTGCGCCACAACGAAACCTGCGGGAATGTCGCGCTACCGATTTTTCAAGTGCCGGTAACTGCCTGGCTTTCACATGATGGCAGTTTCCTGCTGCCTCCACCCCCCCCCCCCCCCCCCCCCCCCCCCCCCCCCCCCCCCCCCCNNNCCCCCCCCCCCCCCGCCGACTTTCTCCCTTCGTGTCCACCCGACCCCCTTCGTTCTTCGTAAAGTATCCCTTGTTGAATATCAATGAATTTTTTTTTTTCTGCAGACGTGATAATATTTGATATCCTGTCTCTGCCTCCTGTTGGTGCTGAATTTATTTGCCCTTTGGGTGCGCTGCCGTCGTGGCCGCTGCAACACAACGATGACAGCTGGGGATCCTGCTGATGCAGCTCTTTTTTGCGGTGACCGGAGCACAGGGCAGCCTTGCCGTGGTCATGGGGACGGCGCCGTCGCTGTTGGTCTTCTCTCTCGTGCAGGTGGGAAATTTTGCCTTTGCCGCGTGCTCGCTTGCATGCAGTGTTTGGTCTGGCTTTCTGGCGTAGATGCATGCATCGAGAGTGGGATGCTGGTCTGCGTTGGACGTACACATATGTTGTTTGTTCGAATCACCGGGACCCTTCTTTGAGGGTTCTCCTGGAAGGGCTGGGGGGAGTCAAAACGTTGTTTGCTCGATTCACGGGGACCCTGTCCGACGGGATGTTCTGCTCGTGACGTTTCATGGCGTAGTGATCCTGCCATTGACTCCGCGTCCCTACACAAGTAGCCAGGGCTGCGTGCACCGGCCAGGCTGAAATGGTATCGAGCGAACATCGCAGTGATGTGTCCGGCTAGTAACGTGCTGTGTGAGCTGCATCCTGCAAGGGAGCACTTTTGAATGTTTCGAGTTCGGCGTATTCGAGGGCATACTGAACGACTCGTCAATCGAAGTCCCGCTCCACTCTTTAAGAGTTGCTCGAGCTCTTCCGTGAATAGATAGTGTTGTCCACATCCACCTTGAGGTCAACCTTGTGGATTCACTCTGGGTGATGTTCAAAGGGAATTTCACTGCAAGCGCCCCTGCCCCGTGTGGTGCAATTGCTGTATTTGCTTTCATTCTTGTGTGTGGAATGAGTGGAGTGGATTCTTCACCACCTGTAATGGTCCTTTTGTTTTAGTTGCATTGGATCCAACGGCCAGGCAACTGTTGTTTTGCTCGCACCACTCTTCCGTTCCTTGCCTTCGGACATCAATAGACTTTCACAGTTTCACTCCGACCTCGTCGTCACCGCATCTTAGCACAACATGTTCACACACGCGCCACGCAAGATGGCGCAGTTTCTTACCCTTCCGGCTCCCCATACAAATAGTTGTAGAAAGTTGTCCCCCGGGTCCGACGTGCGCCTAATCGTTGAGCTTCGTACGAAGGCACCATAACTCGCCCGTGAGGTGTACCACATACGAGACGTTATTATCAGGCAACATGCCATGCTGCCTGCCGTGTGGGAACCTCGAGGGGCTTTTTTTTTCGTTCTTGCGTCCCGCCCCGTTCACTCACCAATCACGTCTACGGAACCCCTACATAGAACAATCCCGTGGCCGGCTCGTGAACCGACCAATCAGATCGCGGTCCACTTCGGCGTGCTCGTCGGCGTGGGGAGGCTCTTCCGACTACCCTTCCGAGAGCTGGCCCTGGCGTCTAACGCGAACGTCGGAGGGCCAACCACCGCCGCCGCGATGGCTGCTGCTAAGGGCTGGAAAAACCTGGCGAGTTTTTTCCTTTTCTTTTCGCTATTTACGTGAAGGCGGTCATTCGAGAACGTGTGCCTTTTGGGGGGGTTGAGCTACGGGGTTGGGCGGGTCGCGCCCCGCGTTGGTTGGTGATGATTCGGTGCCTCCTTCGAAGAACCAAAACGCCCGGGTTTCATATAGGGGGTGCAATAGTTGGGATGCATCTCCGACACTACTATCCCATAAATGGGAAAGAAACCACGAAGACACGCGCCTCAACCGGCGTTTTCGATTTGGCCGTCGGGAGCCCTTGGCGTTCAGTTGGGATCCGAGGGAACTCAATTTGCTGCAATGGGCTGAACCACATAGGCAAATAATCAGCTGCAACCGTGAGACTAATACATCTGTTATTTTGTTGTTATGCCCAAAGATTCTGGCTCATTCCAACCCAACAGGTACCATCCCGCCCAAAGTGACCTCACCCGGTCCGGTTTCAGCCACCAAATTTGTTGCTCGCATCTAAATTTGAATTCTCGCCTCCGTTTCTTTTCTTCGGATGCTTTCTGTTTCTTGGTATCAACCCACACGTTTCTCGTGAAACTTTCTGGTAACATTGTACCATTTATTTTTTCGTGTCTGCTCGTGTTTTTCTTTTTCGTGTTTGACCAGGTCCTTCCTGCGCTATTGACTGGCGTACTCGGCTATGCTACGGCGACCTTCATCGGCGTGGGAATCGGGCACACGTTTCTCAAGACCCTCGTTGCAGGCGCAGGAGTCTGACCAATCAGCCGATTATTCAGTTGCTCCGGACGGACATCAACCCGCCGAGGATTTGATCTATTGCTCTGCAGTGCAGTTCTGGCCTCCTTTTTGGCGCAATTCGGTGTCGTCGTTGTTGTTGCTACTTTTCGTCGTCTTATTCTCGACCGCGATTTTTCTCAAGCGTCGCGAGATGCGCAGTTGGCAGGTACCGCGCCTCACCTGCAACAAGCTCGAGGTTTACATGATGCAACACACATTGCGTCGCCAAACTGATTCTTTTGTAAAGAACTACAATAAAACAAACACTTCCACCCACGTTTGTACATGACATGTGTTCCGCAGTCGTACGTGGAGCGAAGATCGAGAGGGAATGCGTGCCCTTGGTGCAGGGCAAAATGTTGTCTTGTCTTGGTGACAACGTTGTTTTCTCGTGCGCTCCAATGTTGTTATCTGCCGCTCGTTCCCTTCCATTGTGCAAGCATCCTTGAACTTCTCAAGTATAGGAGTTCCATGGCGAATTGAGAAGTTCCATGTCGAAGGCATTCTGCAGCATCCACTATGCACCGCACACTCCAATCGTCTTTTTTGCTCGGGGAATCAAGTTGCGGGTTCTTGGTCTAAAACGCTAGGATGCAGCCGCTCAATACTGTTGCCTCTCGTGCAGCCAGTGCTTCACAGGTGCCGCGGGGCATGACAGCACTTGATATCCATCAAGAGACTTTCGCGAGCATTCCAAGGACGGTTCCGTCTCAAAAATAGGAACCCTGCCTTCTTCAACCTCAACCGCTCGGTATAGCTACTACCACAATGGCTGCGCACTCGGTTGCGTTTGGCAGCACCGCACGGGCTCCTCGCAGTCACTGCACAGGAGCCAACAATAGAAAGTCTGTCGTTTCGGACCCGTGTATGTTACTCTTCGCACTTGCATTTGTAGCAGCTTCTTTCCTGGCCCAAGCCGCACACCCACAGAAAGAGAGACACACGCCACCAGAGGCGGGGAATGAACTTCGAAGTCCAACAGGCACAAAACAAAGCCTCGTAAAACCAAACTCTAGTCAAACTCGTTCGAGCCAGGCGAACTTCACTATAAAAACCTTACCCCCACCCGCTAAATATATAGAGCTTCAGCCACAGGGACCCTGACAACGTTAAGGCTGACAAGGAACCCATGAATACTACTTTCATCGCGAAGCGGGTCTTTTCGCGGAATGGACGTAGGCGCGAACATCTATATGCTACCAACTGTATAATTCGATACAGCAAGGGTCCCGATACATCGCGGTGTACAGTGGCGAAAAACAAGAATCACCGCGCGTTTCTATCGGGACCCGCACAACTGGAACAAGGAAACTGAACAAACATTTTAGGTATCAGGCAAGGTTGTTACGCCAAGGATTCGTTTCCACGACATATATCGGGAACCGCGCTGTTCGGGACAGCGATATGTCGGGACAACTACTGTGCTAGGTTCTGGGACATACGGGGGGGAGCTCTGTTGTGTTTTTGAGAGCTATTTTGAGGACACTATTGGTGAGCTGGCCGGGCCAAGGCAGCATCCGGTTAGTCCTCAGTCGGTTCGCTCGTGATGAAGCTGTGACAGTCCCGCCGATCGCGTCGCCTTGCACAGAGGGGCGAATGACCAGGCCATACGACAAAATGCGGAGCGGCAAGAAGAGTGAGCGACAGGTGTAGGGGTTTTTGTTGAGTGGGGAACAGGGCTTGGATGTCCACGCAGAATGACGAGGGATGAGGGGAGGGGCCCGGACAAAGAAGTGATAGTGTAAGCCAAGCGCAAGCAAATGCATGGCAAATGGGAGCAACAACAACGAGGCCATGAACAAGCATGTGACGAAAGAGGGCGGAATGACTACATCGACCAAAACTGCGTCAGCATTCCCAAGATTTACTTCTCCCCTGCTGTCAGCTCACTTTCCCCCGAAACGTCTCGAACGAGCGACGCTACCACTAAATACAACGATCAAACTGCGTCAGGATTCCCCAAACATTCCCGTCCCCTTCACCTTCACCTTCAACGAGCTGCAATGAGACCATGAACACCAACGAGAGGTCGGGATGACTACACAACGATCAAACTACGTCAAGATTCGCCGAGAATTAAGTTTTTCCCTCTGTCAGCTCACCTTCCCAAGACACGCCTCAATGAGTCGACCCGTGTGGAATTCCCACCCCTGGTGGTGCTCGTGTCCTCGAAGGCCGACACCGGTCCCGCCGTAATATGCGCTGCATATTTCCAACATTCATAATTCCGTCGGGTACATGTTTCCGTCGTTCAGAATGCCGGAGGTCACATATTTCCATCACTCCGAATTCCGGATGGTATCAGGCGAGGCATTGTTCCTCCTCCTTCATCCTCTCGTAGCACCCAATACACTACAGATATTCTCTTCCTAATACTTGCATTTTGTGCCCGTCGGTATCACACCAGGAATATTCTCTCGCAGGATTGATCGTCCAGAGCTCGATACTTTATGAATCTCGCATAAGTTGTCGCCCAGAGCTCTTTACTTCTGGTGCGTCGTGCATTTTCGAACGCCATTCTTCCGAGCAATGCTGGGAAAGAAGAGCGCACAACTGTTTTACATCGAGGGCCGCAAATTGCGCAAGATACCACACCCTCTGGAGCGATTGTCAAAAGTCGATGACAACTGCAGCAGCAACGGCGACGGTGCCGACCCTGGCCACGTTGGAACCTTCTCGTAGAGCTTCCCGAAAACCTACCATTCGATTGTAGCATTCATGGACCAGTCGAGGTTTTAATTTTGGTTTTGGGGGTGTGTTACCTCGTGAATGAACTGTCTGAAACAGCAGCGAGACTCACCGAAGAAAGTGACCGGCCATCTCGGTTATGCCGAAAAATATCCCAAACACCCATACCAGGATCGTCATGATTCCGGTCGATTTGCACGTCATGGTTTCATCGTCCAGGTTCTGACAGGGGAGCGACATGGCGATAAATTGTAGTAGAGGGAGGTGTAAGAAAAGACGCCGAATGTTAGTAACAGCGTCAATCACAGCACCCGCAGCAACAACTAAAACAACATTGACAATTGACAACAACAACAACAACAACAAAAACAACAATGACAACAACGACAACAACAATAACAACAACAACGGCAATACAGGCAGCAATGACGACAACAGGGCGGTCACATCCAACCCAAATTTCGCTCAACAGCAAGGGGTACGACGAAGGACAACGTGCCGTGAGGTAATAGGATGAGCAGGAGGGGTCTTCGCACGCGTTGTAGGACTCCCGGAACCTTTGCATTCCCACGCACACCGCGGCGGCGTTGCAGCTCTGTTTCATCCGGTTGGAGAAGCGAGAGGTTCAAGGAGGACCGGGAGGAGGGAGGGAGGGAGCGCGGAGTGACGCTTGGTTAGTACTGACGACATCAACACCAAGATCATCAACAATGACGGCACCATTAACACCACCATAAAACAACCGTAGCAGATAGATCACCGCCCCACCACCAACGACAGCGACAACAACACACGGCATATGTCAACTGCTCCACCAGAGCTTATGCCATTCGGGGACTACGTCACTACCGAAACCAGACCACCAGACACTAGGGTTGAGGAAAAGGCCAATGAATGAATGAATATGCTCCATGGCCGCCACCGGCACATCCCACAAAATCCCAATAACGCTGCCTGCAATAGCTTCTCACCGTGTTGTTGCCGGCGTTTCCCAGGGCAGAATCTCCGACATCTCCCTTTTGTGCAAGGCCGACGCGACCGATCTCGGTGTCCACGACGGCGTAAAGCGACCTCAGCGGGAGGGTGCCGAGGGACACCACTGGCTGCATCGAGGGCAGCTCGAAAATCCACCCGGACTGCCGTAAAAGGATTATCATTAAAGGATTGTTGATGGGAAACTGTTGCTTAAACCGGGGCGGACATTGGAGTGTCTAGTGGGCGGTTGTCCATGCTGTTTCAGACGCTGAGGCAACGTGCCCCGAACATCCATACCAAAACTAAAGAACACCACATTACGACACGAGGAAGTCTCGAACAAAAGCGCGACACCAAATCGGTATCAATCGGTGCGTGCGGACAAGCAGGAGTACAACCGTGGGCGACAAAATAGAAAGCTACGGACAACGGCGCACGATAGATGCGTGCCTTGCGCTCAGCGATGCCATTGGGAGCTATGGAGAAAATGGCGCCCAGAGAGCTTCACTATGGTGCGGGCAGATGGTATGCCTAGCCTATCCCATTTCTCTTTCCTGTTTCTTGTTGGTGCCGCTGCCGCTGCCGCTGCGGCTGCCGCCCGACAGCAACCCTTGCTCGCTCCTTCACCCGGACAAAACCATCCGTCCTTCGTACTTTAATTTCGTGTTTCAATGGTCGCCTCGATTTTCCGGGATTGCTTCCACTACCAACAGGAGCAAGACATTTCCTACCATATAACCTCGTGGTGACGTCTCAGCGACGGTTCCAGAACAAACGGTTCTGTCGCACGGTACGGTACGGCGCAACAAAGCGGAATTACCGCAAGCCTCGAAGTAAAACCGTGGACCCCTCGAAACCACGACGTTCACACGATTGGGTGTAGTTCGAACGGCAACCGGCATGCAATTGTACGTGTTTCACACGACGCGATACCTGGCGAATGGCGGCCTCTCGAGTGACGCAGAGTCGTCTATCATTGCCATCGTTGACGCTGCTGCTGTTGGAAGGTTGGTCTCCATCTTCGAGCAGCAGCACTGACAGGGGGACGTACAGTTCCTGCCCGTGTTGGCTCAACCTAGTGGCAGGCACACGACGGTCACAAGCAAGAAATTCGGGCGGGAAGATAACAAAACAACGTTAATGATTCCCCTTTGTGTGTATGTGCCTCATGGCTCTTGGTTGCGGGACCACCTCAACAAAATGAGACATTCTTCACTACCTAAAGACAACTAGAAGGCCCAAATGTTGCACATTGGTCACGTACTTACCTCCTACGCACAAGCATCTTTGCCTTCGAAACCGCACAACGACACCTGCGTAGCACTCCGAGTGTGAATCAAACACAACTTTTGTCTGAGTCAACCTCAGCTAAAAGGTCCTAGACAACGTAGGGTAAGAGTCAGCGGCAATGAACAGTTTTACAGGCCAGGAAGGCTTCAAAGGTAATGAAGCGGCACTCGAAACCGACGCCACTGCTTTCTTGTTTTCGAGGTGCCGATCAGGGGTGCGTGCCTGAAAGAAACATGGGGAATTCCCCGATGTCGATCAAAACAAGCACCCCCTCGATACCACGGCCAAAACAAAAAGAAAGCGTATGATACCGCCCGGAGTCTACCGCTGTGAAACGAGGACGAAAAAAACGCCAAGATATCAGACGTCACCAGTCCGATGAGATGATCTTGACGCAGTCTTGGCAACAAACTGGACGCCATGAGCATGTGTTCCATCGAGTGTGCCATGGCGTCATGACCATTACCCAGCCAACAACAAACTCACACGCACTCGAACCAACGCTCTCTCCGCTTCGAATTGATATTCTCCTATCAGTCGATATGAATCTATTGATATTAATATACTCCTGCGAGTCGTGGCGAGCAGTCACTCCATGTCCATCGTCAGAAAATCTAGCCATCTACTGTAGGAAAACGGGACGACGTTTGCCCAGGACTTCTGGTGTACGCCCTACCAGAGCGAAAAACTAGCAACAACGACGACGGCAGCACTGACAACGACGACAACGACAACCGTAGCAACAACAACAACCACAACATATACTACCACGGACCGGATCGAAAAAACGGCCACCAACGGTCGGCACACAATTCCCCTGTTGCGCCGCCTACATGCAGAAAGAGAGAGAGAAGAGAGAAACAATCACAGAGAGAGAGAGAGAGAGAGGCAACACGAGGACAACACAGCATGGCAGACAGGAATGTAGCACAGCAAGGCAGCCTAAACTAAATAGCGGGAAACCAGGAGGCACCTGAATGACAGAGACGGAAGCTCCATGGCGGCATTCTCGGCGGAAATAGAGCACATGCCGCCGTTCTCCGGATCGGGACAATGTCCTTCCACTGGCAGCCACGACATCAGGCTATCGAAAAACTGTACAGGCGGAGGCGTTGGGGAGGGGACAGGTGAAGGTGTTACGGAGTGGGACGGGGGAACAGCGCGATTTCGAAACAAATTTTGACGAGTGCAAATCAACCATGCCTTTTGGTAGTGCTGACTACATACAGGGCATTGTGGGCATCGTCTACACCATTGCAGCTTGAATGTACCGCCGCTGCGGAAATTTCGCCATAAAAACGTCCAGCGAGTTGGCAATGGGACAGCATTTGGGGAGGGGGGGATTCATCGCGAGTGAGGAATCGGTTTCCAGGAACGACACGACACGATCAGTGAATCGCTGCTGTGTAGAAAGGTGGGTCTCTACATATCTACCGTTGCGCAACGAGAGAGCAAGGCCGAAGCCCTCAACCAAAACGATCCACCATCCCGTCACACCACACCATCGGCCGAAGCGAACACGTCGACAGCAGAAAAACGGCGACAACAAGGGAAAACGGCGACAGCTAGGCCCCAACCACAACCACCACCGCCTCCAACAACAACGCCACAAACCTCCGTCACCAACATTCCACTAAAAAGAAAACAAAAGCAGAAAACTCTTTCTGACAAAAGCAAAGCCACCACACCACCAACAACAACAACAATAACAACAACACCGTCACCACTGCCATTCCACCAAAAAAAAAAAAGCAGCAAAAACCTCGTGCGGAAGGCCTAAGCAAGCCGACCCCGTCGACACCACCGCGGGCCAGAAGGCCGTGATGTTACTCATCAAGCTCCGACCGCAGACGGCCAGGTCGAAGGCCGGGAAGCCCCAAGAGCTGGGGAAAGCCGCCGTGAGCCTTTGCCCCCACTGGACGTCACCGACGGTGTCGCTCGACGAGCCTGTAGTGTCGCGCGTTCGCGTGTTCGGGAAATAGGGCGGTGTCTCGTGACGCGTTAGACACGTGGCGGAGAATCCATGCAGTCCGTCCAAGATAAGCGTCATGGGCAGTATGCTACCAAAAACGCCGACAGCCTCCCGGGGCGACCGGCTTTCATGACGGGATAGAACGAACGCAACCCGATTTTGAATAACCGGGCTCCATTTCCAAGCAGCGTTGTCGTTCAAGACCGTGGCAAAAAAGAAGGGAGAAAAAAGGACGGCCTCTCGTTTTCAAGTCTGGTGCTTCGACAGCCCCCCTCACCCCCGCTGGAACACGCTCGCTTGGTCTTTGTAGCCTCGTTGTCTCTTACTACCTCACGTCTTGGCTCCATTGCTGATAGAGTAATACAAAAATGCGCTCCGTTCTGTTACAGAAAACCAACCGCTAGACACAAGAGTGGCGGTGTTTTTTCGTCTGGCGTACTCGTGACCCCGTAAAACCGTTTGCAAAGTCCTCGGCGGTGGTCTTATTACCGCTGTATCCGCCGATCTCGAGGGTGCTGTTGTAGCTCTCGTCTCCAAGGTCCAGCGCGAAGACGGAGTCTGCACCGTCCATCTGCGAGAATACTGCGGGTGGCGTTCATCCCGTCCGTCGTATCGTGTTGGTTCGTATGCACTGTTTCATCCGTTGTACCATTTCGTTCGTTGTCTCGTTTCGTGTCGCCCATGGTGCTGTTTCATTCATTGAAGTGTTGCTTCACCCGTTGTATCGTTTCGTGCACTCTGGAATAATGCGATGATATCATTCGCAGCATCGTTTTCGTGCATTGTACTGATTCGTAGTATCAAGCATTCCATTCTATCGTGTCCCTTTATTGTATTGATTCATCATATGGTGTCGTTTCGCCGGCCAGATCGTTTACTTCATGCTTGTGATGCCGACAACAACAACTTTGAGAACCCTGCTTGCTGGTCCGGGATTTCATGGGGCCTTTTCGACTTTAAAACAGAGAGAAGGGTCAAATAGCAGGATGCGACAACAGAGTGCCAACTGGGACCAATCTCCCTTCCCTTCTAATGCCTCTACCTCTCCAACCTACTCTCTCAACAAGCTTCTGCGAAGAACAAACTTCCTACAATGAGCCGAGGCACAACGCCCCTCGAGGGAATGTGTTGAAGCTTTGTCAGTGAGGCTTCCTGCCGTAGACCAGATTCAAAGGCGGTGCCGGGGGTCATTCAGGCCCTTTCACCAACCAAAAACGCAGTGCCACCGGCTCGAAAGGCGTGCTCGTCTCAACACTACAAGCCAACGAGGGACCCCTTCTTATACAACCCTGAAGCGCAACATACATGGGGGTGTATCGCACGAGAGGCTGCAGGGCCCCACACAACCAGCCACCACACGCGAGAGGAATGCCATTTTTGTCTTATTCATTTTTCACTTTATTACCAGCGCAAACAGCTTTTCTGGCGGGAAGGATCTCCAATTCATGGTGACGACATTTTCCAGCTAAAACCTTACCACCAGCACCACCACCAATAACAACAACAACGACAACCGCCACGAACCCTGCCACTCCACAAAAACATCTACCGCCGTCCTTGCGTCGCTACCCCCATCACACCTGACCGTAGAGAGCCGTTGACTTCAGTCCCATCGCTCGTGCAGGTCGTGTGGGGGAACCGAGCTAGGCCCAACACCCCGGCGGCGCCATCCCAGCCGTCGAGCGTGCCACTGAGGGGGCGGGAGAGAGAGAGAGAGAGAGGGAGGGAGAGAGGGAGAGAGGGAGAGAGAGAGCACGGGGGGATGTGGCACACAAGCGTGCGGGTCTGGATGTCTAGGATTGGCGGCAGCCGGGGAAACAAAGCCTACGAGAGGAATGAGGGCTGTTCACGTGGACAAGGCAAAATTATTTGACAAACATCAAACAAAAAAACAAGCTGCTCAAGCTGCAGAAATACAAAGTCAGAGGGGGATATTCAATCGGTCAGCTGGTTGGGGCGGTCGAACCCCAACAAAGAAATAAACACACAGCCTGACATATTTCACAAGCTAGTCGGGTATGAAGCACGGTCGATGCCAATTCCAGATACACGAACACGTAACCGCTACCATTTAACGTACCCAACGCCAATCGAGCACAAAAATAATTCGCAGAAAACACATTCTTGGTCTCGCTGGCCCAGATATATTCATTCTATCGCCGGCCGTTTGGTTCGGTAAAGCACCAACAAAACATTTCCAAAACGCACGCATACATCTTGCGTGCATATACTAAAGAACATGAATGCGCACGCACATGCACACACCTGTTATCGGCGACGGTCGTATTGAAAGTGGCGAAAACGCTTCCTGATGCGCTCACGTTCGTCGAGAGGGATACCTCCTGCGGAAGACAAGGGCATCACAAACAGGAACAAAAAGAAGACAACGGGAAAAAGAGAAAAGACATGGGGAAACAATCGCCACGAAAAACGATCGACACGTGATCCCAAAATGAGATGAAAGCATTTCAAGCCGGTGCCAGGCACGAAAAACCCGCCACTGCATCTAAGCTTCGTACAAGGCGCGAACCTCGAGCTGAAAAGACAGAGGGCATCGTCTCTGGGCTTCTCCTGGTGCCCTTCCTCTACTCTGCCCCGTTTCCTTTTTTAGGTGGCCTTGGGCTTCCTTCTCTTATTGCCGCGGTCTCTGCGACAATAAACCTCGCGTCCCTTCACCACCATGCCGGTTTCAGGAAACCTCATCTTAATCCCCGTCCCTCTATCTCCTCGGCCTCCCGCCGTCATTCTGATGCCGTCTCCCGCCCCCGCTACATCCTTCCGCGTTCTACTGGATCGAACGTTCACAGCGACACTTGCCTGATCTTGAAGGTAGGGGAGGAATTGGCTGCCAGGAGGGTCTTCAGGGTGAAGGGAAACGGTCCCTCCGTCCAGCTTTCATGTGCGCGAAGAATGCCAAAGAACAAAATCAGACAAAAAAAAAAAACTACTCCCAAAATTTTGATTATGTGGTATCGCGTGTAACGAGCAGCATTCGTTATCCACGTGAAAACAGGGCGAGTCCAAGCAAGGCACAAAAAGGCAAGAAAATAATACGGATGAACGGCGACTCGAGATTCACGGTAAACCCAGCTGCAATAAGGTCGGCGGGCGGAAGGGTGCGTGCACAGGTGCACCGGGGAGAAGACGCGTATAGTGGATTCGTCTCAAGCTCTTCGAGAAATAGTGAACATCGGCGCCTCTTGGTCCTCCGGTAGGGCGCACGCCGAACTCCGGGCGGTGACAACCGGTGGCCCTTGCAATGAAGCAAGGAAGAGCCTCTCCTACGTGCGGCAAGCATGTCGACCGTACATGACACAACTAATCCTTCCAGACAAGCACACGACTGACCCGCCCGACCAAGCAACGGCCAACTGTCTCACGTTTTCGGAGGGATTTCTGACGCGGGGTTCAACCGGCAAAGAACGGCCGAAGCTCAAGGGTAGGTTGTGGGTGCTACCGTCGCAAGGCCTCTGTTCGCAAATGTAGGCGCCATCGCATAACAACCCCAAGCATCAACGCCATTCCGAACTCATAATTGTCGCTCTTCATCCGCATGTACCACCACATACCGTACACGACCACCACCGCGCCACTAACTAACTGTACCGTGCAAATGGCCATAATCACCCACCGTTCCGGCTCTGCAGGGCTTCTCCCCTGCCTCATCCAGGGTGTCTTCGAAGGGGATGCAAACTTTCCCGTCGCCGCCCCCACCCTCCTCATCCGCGGAGCCCCCGTCCTCAACTCCCGTCACGTTTGAGCACACCGGAAACGCCACCATGCTTACGGTAGTGTCCACGATCAAGGTGGCCGTCTAGGATCAGTCGCAGAAACAGGCATACAGGCGAGGACAAGAGGTGGTGGGGGGTGGGGGGTGGGTGTACTCATACTCATAGTCGTGCATGCCGTAGTCGTTAGACCATTGACCTCGCATGCCTACAAAGCCGGGACGGAGCACGCCGGGTTCTCACCGGACCAGGCTCTCACATCACCAAGCGCGAAGCGCCGTGAGGTATTCGGCGAGTCGCATGAAGGGTGCGCTGCATCCTGCCAAGGGTGTTCGACATCTTGTGCTTACTTCCTTGCGTACGGATGACAGCTGCGTATGACTATATTTATTTTCTGGTGCTTCCACTTCCAGAGCAGTTGTAAGCACTGTATAACTGCCTCGAGGGTGCTTGACCATTTTAACACAACGTGGTGCGATCATCCCCCTTGCGCGGAGTGAGGGTTCACCCCGCACAACATGATCTACTCAACCATCATTATGGTTACCGCCCAAAAAAAATAAACGGAGGAAAAAAAAAAAAACGGTAACCTGGTTGCCGAGTTCACGAAGTGAATTGGCTTGTTTTACAACGTCGTTGCCAAGCGACGAAAACCCAATCCCGATGGCAAACACCGGGGGGGGCGGCTTGTTTTACAACGTCGTTGCCAAGCGACGAAAACCCAACCCCGAACACCGAGGGGGGGGGCAAGGGTGCTCGGCTTACATAACACAACGTGGTGCGATTATCCCCTTTGCGCGGAATGAGGGTTCTCCAACCCGCACAACATAATCTCCTCGACCATTTATGGTTAACGATAAAAAAAAACAAGGCAAAATAAAAAGCGGTAACCAACCCCCGACAGTCAACACCGGGGGGGGCGGCTTGTTCTACGACGTCGTTGCTACGCGACGAAAACCCGACCCCGATGGCAAACACCTGGGGGGGGGGGG